TTTTCACTGCCTCTCTGCCAAGGCAATGCTGTGGATCAATTCTTCTGTGAAATCCCCCAGATCCTCAAGCTCTCCTGCTCAAACTTTTACCTCATTGAAGTTGGGCTTATTGTACTTAGTGTTGTAATCTTATTTGGGTGCTTCACCTTCATTGTGTTTTCCTATGTGAATGTCTTCAGGGCCGTGCTGAGGATGGCCTCTGAGCAGGGACGACACAAAGCCTTCTCCACATGCCTCCCACACCTGGCCGTGGTCTCCCTGTTTCTTAGCACTGGCATGTTTGCCTACCTGAAGCTGCCCTCCATTTCCTCCCCATCCCTGGATCTGGTGGTGTCATTTCTGTACTCGGTGGTGTCTCCAGCAGTGAACCCCCTGATCTACAGCATGAGGAACCAGGACATCAAAGATGCTCTCTGGAAACTGATGACCAGATGTGTTTCAGAAGCAATGAACTGCCCATCTTTATCTACATAGGACTTGTAATGCAGATTTTAACAGAGTCAAAGTGTCTTTTTTTTGTTTGTGTTTTCATTAAGTGTAGTTTGGTGATCCTTGGTGTCCCTTCCAACCCAACCATTCTGTTTTATGATTCTATGATTCTCATAAGGCAGGCCATATTGTTAGTATATAAATAACAAAACATTTCCATTTCAAATATTTTTTCTTACAGTATTCATTAAAAAACAAACAAACAAACAAAAATGAGAGGAAGAAGAAGAAGAGGGACAAAACCATAAAACTAATGGGATATTTAAGATTGTTTTTCTGTAGCTAACACAGCAGTCTGGTCAGATGGCAGCAGTTGTGATTCTTACTGAGGTCTCAAGGTGTGCAGCAGAGATTTTTGATGAAATTTTATTCTGCCTGTACTTCCCTCTTGACAATCTTTATGCAAAACCTGTGTGTTCTGCCAACAAGCAATGACACAAATAAGGTGTGATTGTGAAGAGAAGGGGCTGAGATAGGGATTATGAGAGTCTGTTAAAGAGACACGATCAGATTTTTGCATTGAATATCTGATTACAATTCCACACATTTCACTTGAAAATTTCCTGTCATGTGTTTATATCAACTGAAAATGGTCTCACAAACATAAAGATGCTCCAGGGCCTCAATGTCTTCTTTGCAGTGAAGGGCCAAAAAGTGAACACAGCACTGAAGTTGCAGCCTCACCAATGTGAGTACAGAGGGACAATGACTTCCCTACTCCTGCTAGCAGTGCTATTTCTGATACAAGCTAGGATGCCATCAGCCTTTCTGGCCACCTGGGCACACTGCTGGCTCGTGTTTGTCTGAGCATCGACCAGTACCCCCAGGTCCATTTCCTCTACACAGTCTTCCAGCCACTCTGCCCCATGCCTGTAGCATTCTTTAGGGTTGCTGTGGCCAAAGCTCAGGACAAAAGCCTTTTGGGGTGGTTGCAGCACTGGGAACAAAACAACTGTTGGAAATATCCAAATAATTTACCAGGACGGTATCTCTGATAAAGCAGAGATCTCCATCGTGCCCCATAAATCTCCTGCAAGCAGGAGAGCACACAGAAAACAACATTCCATCATTTTGCCCTATTACTTGATGCTTATCTCTTTGTCCCCTGGTTCCTCATTGGCTGAGTGCTTCGGGTTCACAATCTTCCCAACACTCAACTA